TCAGCAGCATCCCACCCAAAGAGCACAGTAGCAAATCCATCCTCTGGGAGACTCAACGCGCCTGTCCAACGGTGGGTGGCGGATCTGCTGTCCCAGCCCCCAAACACTGGTGCAGTGACGCACGAGCGAGCGAGGTCTAGGCCATAAAGCTCTGCGCCCTTATGCATTTCTCACCTGCATTCAGCATGCCCTTTGGGATCTCAGCAGCATCCCACCCAAAGAGCACAGTAGCAAATCCATCCTCTGGGAGACTCAACGCGCCTGTCCAACGGTGGGTGGCGGATCTGCTGTCCCAGCCCCCAAACACTGGTGCAGTGACGCACGAGCGAGCGAGGTCTAGGCCATAAAGCTCTGCGCCCTTATGCATTTCTCACCTGCATTCAGCATGCCCTTTGGGATCCCATGCATTGCCCCTTCGCGCTGTGGCGTCACACCGAGCACACACTGGAGCCAGCAGACAGAAAGCCGCCCTGTGTTATTTTTAGGTCACCTGACTGGGCAATGTGGTACTTTTTGTAACGTGGTTACTTTGTACTGTTCATTGATAACTTGCTTCTTTGGGTTCTCCCCTGTATCTGTGGCGTTTCTGTGTTTCTGTCAAATAAATTATTCTAGTTTATTAAACTCAGAGAAGAAACCAGAGCCCTGATGCGTCTGAGGCTTTATTTGGGCTCCTAAGGGTTGTGTATTTGCCCATTAAATGAGGCCACGAAGGGGTAAATGCTGATTGGGTTACACTGGTGTAAAGCTGAATGATTCCCTCCCCCCCACAGAGGCTGTCTACACTACAGGCATCTATCGGAAAAAGGTACACACATTGCACTCCGCACTTTGAGTACCTTTTCCCAATAGTTTTTTCAGAAGAGGCTTTTCTGAAATTTAGCCCGTCTACACTGGGCTAAACTTCGGAAAAGCTTCCTCTTTCAGAAGAGCCCGTCTTCCTTATGGATCATCAGCTGAACATGAGGCCCTGGGTGGCATTGGCCAGAGGCGCTAACGAGAGCCTCGCTTACACAAACACAGGAATCACGAAGGAGCAGAGAAGTTACGTCACTTCTCGGTTTGGCACTAGTGCAACGGCTGCATTGACCCTGTGTCCGCTCTGGAGCTCACAGTTCAAGAAGGATGCCGATAAATTGGAGAGGGGTTCAAAGAAGAGCCATGAGATTGATTCAAGGACTAGAAAACCTGCCTGCTAGTAAGACTCCAAAGAGCTCAGTTGGTTTAGCTGAACCGAGGGAAGGCTGGGTAAGGGATGACTGGATTACTGCCTGCGGGGAGGTACGTGGGGATTAAGTATTTAACAAAGGGCTCTCCAGTCTAGCAGAGAAAGGTCTAACAGGATCCAGTGGCTGGGAACTGAAGCTAGGCACATTCAGAGGGGAATGAAGTGCACGTTTTTAAGGAGGCGTGATCAACGATGAGAACAATTCACCAAGCGCCATGGTGGATTCGCCAGCACTGAATTTTAAAAATCAAGAGCAGGTTTCTTCTCAGAGCCCTGCTGCAGGAATTCATTTGGGCAGGCTTCTGGCCTGCTAATCAGGCGGTCAAGATCAGCAGATCACAGGGGTCCCTTCTGGCCTTGGAATCTGCGTATGTCCCCTAGTTCCAGGGATGGAATGGGTGAGGCTTCCCGGTTATAGTTAACCAGGAGGGGCTGGAGCAGCTGCCCGCACAGCCCCAGAGGGCCCACCAGTGGCAGGGTCTCCTCCGGCCCGCTAGCTAGCGCAGCCCCAGTCCCGTGGTGGGCCTGCCTGGCTCCCCCACTGCAGGTTACTCACTGGCGCCCCGGGAGCTGGCTGCATAGCCTGCAGTGAACCCTCCCGTGCTGCAGAAGGCGGCTTCGGGGTGGCAGGGAGCCAGCTCTGCAATATGAACCTCGTTTAACCTTTATACTGCAGAGCCTGCAGCGTGGGCGACTGCTATGATCTTTAGTGGTTACGCAGACACCTTTTTAACCCCCTTTTTTACATCCCTGCCTAGTGCCAACACATTCAACCCAAGCCCAATCCTTCGCTGGGTGAGCAAGTGACAGCGACAGCTTTGGGGATTGTGAGCCAGGAATCCCCTGGGCTCTATCCCTCCCCATCACACCCAAAGCAATCTGGTGGGTGCCCTCAGTACCACCGAGCAAGCAGGGAGGCGGTGATGTTCCAAAGGACAGGAGCAAAGCACCACAGAAAGAAAACCAGGGCAGGCCAGTCCCATGGGAGCAGAGTTATACCCAGCAGAAGGAAAAAAATCAGACCGGCTGGAGCTCTGGCTGAAGACAAACAGGTGCTGGTGGGCTGACCGGGCAGTGGAGGAGCAGAATCAGCTGCGGCCCAGACCGCAATGCAGCTGACGTGGTGCACCGGACCTCTAAACAGGGCGAGTTCTTAGTGCTTGCCCTTATGGTTCTAGTTGACCCCCTCTCTCCCTACGCCCTCTGCTCCCATCCACTTTCCTTCACCCCCTTTGCATGGCCTGGCAGCCCTTTATGTCACGCACACACTACACAAAACGCTGCAGAGCAAGACAAGCCAAACTTCAACAGCGCGTTGTCAGGTGTAAGTGTTGCCACCTTGCAGCCCAACACCCTCTACAGTGCGCTCTGGGCCCACAAGCCTCAAGCGGAGACTGTATAACCACAAGGCATCCTATTGATGCCGGCGGGGTGCTGCTCAGGCAACGTGGCTGCAGGCGTTAGGTATCTGGGGCAGGGATCGGGTCTGTAAAGCACCATGTGCAATACGGCTCCGGAGCAGCAGCAATAACCACAGGATGGGACTGGAGGCTAAATGATCAGACACTTATCCTGATAAGTGCTCTGCATGAGCTACAAGATATTACCACCCACACTTTCTTGACACAAGAGGCGACAAAGCCCTACAAATTAAGCGAGGGGTATTAGCATTTAAAGGCTGCTGCCTACAGCCAAGGAGCCGGGGGCACTAGTCCCATCAGCAGGACTGCTCGCAGGGTACAAAATAACTTTACAGAAACGTTGCCAGTTGTGGTTGCAAACTGCCCCGTGTAGTGTGGGAAGCAAGCTCAGGGAAGCTGAGAGAAACAGAGACACAGGCCACATGGGAGTGGTCTGAAGGGGAGGTGGGGAGAAACTAAAAAAGGACAAATGGTCACACATGAGACAGAGGTTTACAATTCTTACTGTTTTAAATAACGAAATGTGTACAACACGCTGGGAACACCGAGCATCAGTCTGGAGCGTCCCCTTCCGACAGGGTCACTCATGCACAGGGAGCAGAGTTTAGAGTGGAAACACAGGAAAAAAAGTAACTCAGAGTTCTCATGAACTGTTCCTGTGCGGCTCCGCCCAGTCCCAGACATGCAGGGAGCCATCACTTGCTGCTGATAACAATGTTCTCGGCTTCCAGGGATGCCAAACATGAGCTGTGACCAGGGGAAAATCCCCGCCACCCTCCGTGCCACTGAAGAGATGTCCTTTGTGACTAAACAGTGGCTCTGCTTCCACGCCAGAGACAGGCCAGCCCTGCGTGTCATAGATGTCAATGGTCCCATGGAAGCCTGTGTTAAAAGAATACAAGAAGAACACAGACTATAGAAACAGCCGCCTGTTCAGCTGAGCATAGATCCCTAACTGCCTGCTTTACGTGCACTGCGAGTTCCACTAACACTGAGCTCCTGTTCCCAGACTCCTCTTGTGCAGGGTAAGTGAGACTGAACAGGCTACAGTCCTGGTACCAGGAACCAGGTATTTATCCACAGCTGTAAGGAACACAATGCAGGCTCAGGTGACCTAAGAATTCATTCACCTACATTCGTACCATCCCAGAGGAGACAAAACCTCATGTTCTTAGGACACGGGGTATCCTGAATCGGTATATATGTCCACGGATGGCACTGGGGCACAGATAGCCTTTACCAACAGCTTCCACGCAGTTCCCAGTGTGAATTTGTGTTTTAAGTAGAAGAGGAAACTAGCTCTTTGCACACATCTGGGTAGCAACTATTCACTTAGGGTGTGTCTAGACTACAGGGTTTTGTCGACAAAAGTGGACTTTGTCGACAAAGCTATACCTGCGTATACACTACCGCCGAGTTCTGTCGACATAACATGGACAGAACTCATCAGTTTTGTTGACAGCGGTAAACCTCATTCTATGAGGAATAACGCCTTTTGTCAACAGAGTTGTCGACAGAAGGCGTTATTGCATCTACACTGTCCTTTGCATCTACACTCTCATGTTGACAAAGCGGCTTGCTTTGTCGACAGAACTGGATGTAGTCTAGACGCTTTTTGTCGACAGAAGCTTTGTCGACAGTATCTGTCGACAAAGCCTCTGTCAACAAAAGCCTGTAGTCTAGACATACCCTTATATTGCAGCACAGAATCATAGTATAGGACTGGAATGAAACTCAACCAGTCACCTAGTACCATCCCTTCACTCCAAGCAGGAGTCAGTAACAACTAGACCATCTCCGACAGGCGTTTATCCAACCTGCTCTTTAAAACTTCCAATGATGGAAATTCCTCAGCATCCTTAGGCAATTTATTCCAGTATTTCATAATGGCAACCTAAACTGTCCTCCCTTGTGCCCTATCCTCAGAGATTAAGGAGAACAATTTTTCCCTCTCACCTTCATATAACAATTTTTCCTACTTGAAAACTGTTTACCATTAGAGTTCTGCCCATATACAAAATTTGTATCCGCATCCGTATCTGCAAAAATGAGCTGTGGATATCTGCACTGACAGACGCAGATGCGGATACCCGTGGATATAAATGGATATCTGCAAATTCCAGAAGACTGGAAAAGGGCAAATACAGTGCCTGTCTATGAAAAGAGAAATAAGGACAACCAAGGAAATTACAGACCAGTCAGTTTTATTTCTGTGGCAGGAAAGATAATGGAGCAAATAATGAATCCATTTGAAAACAAATGGAAGATAATAGTCAGCATATACTTGTCAAACCAAACCATGTCAAACCTACCTGAGAGCTTTCTTTGACTTGGTAGCAAGCCTTATGGATAAGGGGGAGGCGGTAGATGTAGCGTATCTACATTTTAGTAAGGCTTTTGATTCAGACTCTCATGACCTCATTAACAAACTAGGGAAATGCAACCTTGATAGCTCTACTATAAGGAGGGTGCATAACTGGCTGGATAACTGTCCCCAAGAATAGACATGAATAGTTCACAATACTGATGGAAGGGCAAAATGAGTAGAGTTCCATAGGGATTAGTTCTGGATCTGGTTCTATTCAATATCTTAATCAACAATATAGATAATGGCATAAAGAATATGCTTATAAAATGTGCTGATGAGGGTTTGCAAGTACTTTGGATGATTATAATTCAAAATGATCTGGACAGACTGGAGAAATGGTCTGAGGTAAACAGGATGAAGTTCAATAAGGACAAATGCCAAGTACTCCGCTTAAGAAGGACCAATCAGTTGCACACACACAGAATGGGAAGTGACTGCCTAGGAAAGAGTACTGAGGGAAGGGATCTAGGGGTCATAGTGGATCCAAAGATAAATATGAGTCAACAGTGTGACACTGTGGCAGTAAAAGGCAACATCATTTTGGGATATATTAGCAGGAGTGTTGTGAGCAAGACACGGGAAGTCATTCTTCCGGGCTACTCTGCGCTGATTAGGCCTCAAGTGGAGTACAGGTTGGTGCTCTGCCCGGCACCCTCGGGACCTCAGTGGTCTTGAACCACGGAGTTTGCTGGAACAGAGGAGTTCAAGGCTTCCTACCCAGCTGTAGACTCTGCTCCCAGCTGGGGCTGCGCTCCCTGCCTGCCTGCCTCCAACCCCCACACTCTACCACCAGCCCTGGCTGGGGCTGCGTCTCCCACTGCTCCAGCCCTGGACAGGGGCTTGTCCTGCTCCCTCCAGTCCAGGCCAGGGCTGCACCCTCATGGTGCCGGCCCAGACTGCATGCCCAGCTGCCTCCTGCCGCCAGCTCTGGCCAGGGCTGTGTCCCCTCCCTCCACACCGGCCCCAACCAAGGCGGTGCTTCTGACCACATCAGCCCCACTACCTCCAGCCAAGGCTGGGGCTATGCTCCTTGCTATCAGCTCTGGCCAGGGCTGCGCTCCCCACCGGCAGCCCAACCCAGGCTGTGCTACTGAACCTGGCCAGCTGGGTCTCTCTGGTCCAGCAATATCCGTGGCCCAGATGCTGCTGGACCAGACACTCCGAGATTTTAGAGGCCAGACTGTACTGTGTCCAGTTCTGGATGCCACAGTTCAGGAAAGACGTGGACAAACTGAAGTCCTGAGAAGAGCAACAAAAATGATTAAAGGTCTAGAAAACATGACCTATGAAAAAAGACTGAAAGAATTGGATTTGTTTAGTCTAGAAAAGGAAAGAGAGAAAATGCTAACAGTTTTCAAGTACCTAATTGTTACAAAGAGGAGGGAGAAAAAAAATTTTCTTCTTAGCCTCTGACAGGACAAAACCAATGGACTTAAATTGCAGCAAGGGAGGTTTAGGTTGGATATTAGGAAAAACTTCCTAACTGTCAAGGTGGTTAAACACTGGAATAAATTGCCCAGGGAGGTTGTGGAATCTCCATCTCTGGAGATATTTAAGAGGTTAGACAGACATCCGTCAGGGAAGGTCTAAAAATGGTGCTTGGTCCTGCCATGAATGCAGGGAATTGGACTTGAGCTGTTGAGGTCCTTCGCAGCCCTACGATTCTATGAAATTGATTGCTTAATTCTTCTCTGTCGTATATTTCTGGGTACTGAAGTTAAGCCGACTGGTCTGTAATTACTTGCATGGAGTGCTGACGGATTCTGCTACAATGCACAGGAGCAATCTGTGATGGGAGACCTCAGATGAGTTCGGAGCATTGACGGATATGTGGAATAAGAGGCCTTTGCTAGATCGCATAGAGCCTGATGTTCAGTAACTGGAGACCCAACTTGCACTTATGCATTTGCTCAAGCCCTAACCGCATACACGCACACCAGCGCTCAGCATGTGCACAAAAGCAGGAGCAGGCCTCGGGCTGCATCAGAGTCAGGTTCCTACTGCATGTGACTACTTGGAGGAAGCTGCCCCCACTTCCCACCTTGTCCCAGGCACCGTGCCCAACCCCACCCTGCTGTAACTCTACTGAAATCCACGGAGTTATACCAGGGCTGAGTTGGGTCCATTGAGTGTTGTTATTTAGCTCTCAGGGAAATGGAACACGCAGCATCCCAACGGACCAGCAGCCACATAATCTCACTCCATAAGCCACATCCTAAAGCAAGGCATCATGGGTACGCTGATTGCCACGGGACCAGGCTTTCAGTTCAGAAAACCAGAGCTGAAAACACACGGCAAACAATCCCCTCCTCTGGAGTTACCTGAAACGGCGAGGTGCCCGTCCAGAGCAGGCGCCCAGGAGACGCACAGGAACTCCGCGCGTGGGCTGGCTGCAGAAACCTTGCACTTGGCCGATTTCAGAGGCGTTGGGATGTTTCTCAAGTCCGTTAGCATGAGCTGCCCTCCTGACGAGAGTCGGGCCACGGTGGGTGCATTCGCACCACAGCCCGGCAGGACGCCCATGCACCATTGCTCCCCACCGAGTGCTAAAGGAATGGATGCATCACCCAGGGGACTCTGTGGCCGCCGAACATCTGCCAGGCACAGCTGGCCCTTCACGCAGCAGGCCAGCAAAGTATCGCTGCTACGAGAGGCTAAAAGAGGAGGAAGAGAAACTCAGACTCTGCAGGCTGCTCAGCTACAGCTGCTAGGCTCAGAAACTGCAGGGTAACAAACATACCAAGCGGGGGAGTGAAACTTTATGTGGAAGCAGACTTCAGCCTTCTCCAGGGAAGCTGCTTCAGAAAGAGGAAGGCTCAGCTTTCAGGCAGGGCTGGCAGCAGGTGGGGCTCCCAGAGACTGAAATCCTCTTTCCATGAAATGGGAATGCCACATGTAGCAAAACAGCAATTCCCTCCTGCTACCCTGCTGGCGTGGCTGAACCATCAGCTAGAACAGAGGTGGGCAATAATTTCCGCAGCAGGGACCACTTCGAAGAATTTTGATACATGGTCACAGGCTGGCTCCAGGTTCCCTGGAAGGGGGGGGGCTTCAGGTTGGAGCAGCTCGGCTGTGCGTCACCCTCCCCCCAACCCCTGCTCTGTGGAGATGGGGTACAGAGGCTGGAGGACACACTCAGACTTAAACACTTCCCCCCTCCCCCTGCTACTCTGCACAGCTGGCAGGAGAATCCTGGGAGCAGCTGGGCTGCAGGATGGAGCAAGGTGGGGGGCAGCCAAACACACACGGCCAGCTGTAAATCTGCCCTTCTGCTCATCAGCTGGATGGGCTGGAGAGAAATGCTTGGCGGGCCAGATCTCGCTCTTGGGCCTGGATTTTGCCCACCCCTGTGGTACAGTCTCATATTTTTAAGGAGAATGTTCTGCTCTCACTGGGTGAAATTAATCCTTGGGCAAAAGACTTGCACAGATGAATCTACTCCAACACAAGGGTTGCTCCATACGCAAATCTCCCCCACCACACCAAACTGCATACAAGCCCCACTGCTATACTCTCAGCCTTGCTACTAAGTTTCGCTACTGAAAGAAAAGCAGCAGCATAGAACCCTAACATGCCAGCTATTTTTGCTATAGACCTGTACTTCCCAATGCCCCCTCAGGACAACCCCTCCCAGCTGCTAACCCTCTGTAAACCAGTCCCAGTGACTGACACCTGGATTCTTACTAGCTGGGTGAATACAAGTGTTGTCCCTCAAGTGTCGGATTTGTTGGGATTGTTCCAATTGCATTTAACAGAGTGACCGTCAACAGAACGGCAGCTGGCTGGGAAATTGCAGAGGGATCACGTTTGGGAGAGCACGACAAGATAAAGTAACTAAAAAGGGTTCAGAAGAGTTCATGAGTGGTGTGGAGAGGGCCGATAAAGAAAAGTTATTTATTAGTTCCCTAAATAGAAGAACTAGAGGACACCAAATGAAATTAATGGGGAGTACGTTTAAAACTAATAAAAGAAAGTTCTTCTTCACACAGCGTGTAGTCAACCTGTGGAACTCCTTGCCAGAGGAGGCTGTGAAGGCTAGGACTATAATAGAGTTTAAAGAGAAGCTAGATAATTTCATGGAGGTTAGGTCCATAAAAGGCTATTAGCCAGGGGATAAAATGGTGTCCTTGGCCTCTGTCTGTCAGAGGCCGGAGAGGGATGGCAGGAGACAAATCGCTTGATCATTGTCTTCGGTCCACCCTCTCTGGGGCACCTGGTGCTGGCCACTGTCGGCAGACAGGATACTGGGCTAGATGGACCTTTGGTCTGACCCAGTACGGCCGTTCTTATGAGCACAATGAACAAACCCTAATTCTGCACTGCTGGGGGAGGAAAGGCACGCATGGGGAGACATTCCCGATGAGCTCCCCGCAGGCGAGTAACAGAGCACCACTTGCTAAGTGTGCTGCCTTAAGAGAGATTACGTAGACCCGTCTGCTGAGTAAAGCAGGATCAGTCGGACAGGACTGAGAAACCAGATCCTGGAATGTGGAATTTTTCAGACCCTGGACAGAGTTAGGGTACAATGTACAGAAGGGGCTAAGATTCACCGACTGACAGGGAGATTTACGTTCCTAAACCACTAGAGCCCCAGTGCAGCCACGTTCTAAAGTGCCAACAGGCAAGTCATTCTAAGTGAGTGCTGCACTGGGGGACCACTTATACTGTGTGTGTTCTTACGTCACTGTGCCAACAGAGCTTGACCAACCAGGAGAAGTTGTGTCACTCTGAACAGGGGAATAACGATGCTGAAAAAGGTGGAGGATTTAGGAGGAGGCGGACAGGCACCAGGCTGTGCTCAAAAAAGGGGAGTTTTTCAGTATAATTTCCTAGATCAGGGTTAAGGAGTACAAGTTCACCACCTTATGGTTATAGCTGGATTCATAGCGTTGCAACCCCCAACCTTTCTCCCGGCTAGAGGAGGATGCCAAAGCTATGTCCTGCTGCAACATGGGGTCAACATACGAAAAAGGCCGAGGCTAAAATGTTTGTAAGTGCCAAAAGGAATCAAGTGCCTACATCTTGTTGGCTTGCACTGGGGTTTAGGTGGTTTTGAAAACATTTCCCTGAACCGCACTGGTTTAAAGAGCATGCAGCTTAGCTAGACTAGTATGAAATCTTCCCTCCCATTCCCCTCTTTATAAATGTCAACAAGACGTGGTTTTTCTTTAAATACCTGCTGCGTAGATGGTTTTCTTTGATTCAATCTCTGTCACTTGGAGATTGTTGACTCTTGAGCCATGAAGGACACAAGGGGCTCTAGCGAAGATGGTTGCAATTTTAGCCCAAGGTTTCTTGCTGTCATTTCCCGCAGGGATGGTACTTACGGATTTAATAACATCTATTTAAAGAGACATGCATTGAGCTGTAACAGCACAAGAACCAAGTGACTCACCTTTGTTAAGTGTTTTGTGAAGCTGAATTACAAGTCAACCCACAATTGATATTTTAAATTCTTTTCTAAGGGCAAAAACACTCTTCACGGCAGTAGAGTGGGTCTGATAAAATGGTCTATTTAGACATTTAGAAAACCTAGGATACAAAAGCTTTAAACAAGTTGCTTGTTTTCATTAAACAACAGAATAAATAAAATAATTGAAATAAATATTTAATGTGCTTCTTCCATAGACTTCACAGTGCCAGGATGGGTAGACGTGGTGTCCCTAGCCTCTGTCAGAGGGTGGAAAAGGATAACAGGAGAGGGATCACTTGATGATCCTCTGTTTCTGTTTACTTCCTCTGGGGCATCTGGCATTGGAAGACAGGATACTGGGCTAGATGGACCCTGGTCCCTCCCAGTATGGCCATTCTTATGCTTCACAAAGTGAGGAAACGCCAGGAACCCCCCACTTGGCAGGGAGGGAAACTGAGGCACAGCGCTGTGACGTGATTTGCTGTATATCAAAGGGTCAGTGCGCAGAGCCCTTGGTCATACTGCTAAAAGCTGCTGCTTAGGCGTCATGCCAGTGAGGTGAATGGGACAACTGTGGGTGCAAGCGCTCACATGGGACCAGAAGATCCCAGCTGTCCTAACTCCCAGTGTAACTGGACTGGGCTGCTGGCCTCGGGACAGCACATGGACTCGTGCTTCCGGCAAACATCTCCGAGGCCACCTTCAGGCCAGGCCTTCAGCCACGTGGTGACTAACACTAAGTGAAGAATCCCTGCATGCAGCCAGAGCAATGGGCTCCAGGGCCGGTCAAAGGACCTGAACTGTACAAGCGGAAGCCTCCCTCCAGCGCAGGGCTCAGGTGTGGGCTGAGAACGTTCGCACACCTGGCAAGCGAAGGCTTCTCCGCATCACAATTCCACTCTGGACACGCAGGCCGAAGTTTCCAGCCACTAGTGATCCTGGGGGCTCAATCTGAGACACCTTAGCGAGCCTGGTTCTCAGAGACGCTGTTCACTTGCCCTTCTGGGGGGGGTCTCAGCTTGGGCCCCCATAAGGCCCAGCCATTTTGGACAGTGTAGGTCACAGAGTCTTTTTTTGTGCTCCATCATTCCCGGGCGCTTCAACAAAGGGCGTTAAGACTCTGCCCTCCCCCTGCGCCTTCCAAGGGCTCCACCCGCACAAGGGGATGAATTAACATGACCCTGACACAGGGAAGCTCTAGAACTCTGGAGCAAGCTGTCAATGGTGCCTGATAGATCACCTGGGATGCAGGAGTCAGCGGCAGACTGTCGAGCTACCAGCCCACTCCTGTGGCACAGCTGCCCCACCACGCACTCACCCGTGTCCTCTGCTGCCAGCTGCCAAATCTGCAGGGAACCGTCTGGCGGGCCACTTGTTACCAGCAAGCTGTGAAAAGAAGGAAGCCAGATGCAAGCGCGCCAGGAAGGGGCCTTTGGCCTCGGGACTGGCACATGCCGGTGAGGACAAGTGTGTCTGTTCCCTCCGTTTCCTCCTGCCACACTTGGGGCACTGGCTGAGTTTCTCCCATCCCGCAGCTGGGGCAGGATGGACACACTTGTGGCAACAAGCTATGCTCGTGCTGCCTGTGATGGGGGGGCTCACAGGAGCCTGTTCTTGCCTCCCCTCTCCTCCAGCCCCGGTTGTCACAGCAGCCCCAGGGCAGAGCCACTGCTTTGGTGTGTTTGCAGCACAAAGCAAGACTGAGAACGATGTCAGCAAATGCTAAGGATGGGAGGCTAGCAGAGGGGTGTGCACCTGCGTGGGGGGGGGGGAACCCACTGAAGAAGTGGGGCGGCTCAGCGGGAAGGAACAGGTATGAGAAGTTGGCTGTTTGCATGGCCCCTAGCATTCTCCTGGGCAAGGACGCGCTGGACCTAGGGAGGTGAGAGTCCAAGGCAGAGCCGATGGTGCCAGTTGCTTGAGTCCTTGGATCACCATTGGGACCAGAGAGACACCCTGGGCTGCTCTGCATTTTCATTCCTGCCCTGCTTTAACACCAGCAACGGACTCTCAGCCTAGAACAACGGAGGGGGCAAAGCTGGAAAGCTTCCAGGGAACGATCTGCGGGAGTTGGGGGGGTGGCTGTTTGCAGGAACTTCCCCCCCCCGCCTGCTAAAAATTCCCCCACCAGGGACAACTGCCCCCATAGAGCTGTCAGTGGTTTCCCACCACAAGGGGGCGCTGCCTCCTTGCTACAGCTGCTCCCTTCCGGAGACTCTCAGCTGCAGGAGGGGAGGAGCCAGCTGCCCCATGCTCCCCGTCCACACCAGCTCGAGCACTTCTGTACTGGGGTGGCAAGGGGAGGAGACCTCTTGGGGGGTGAGAGACCTAAGACCCCCCTCCCGGGCAAGGCCCTGCAGAGAAGCCCCAGAGGGAGGGCCGCAGGAGGAAGAGAAAGGAGCGAACCAGCGGAGTGCACAGCGGCACATCCACACGGGCCCAAGGAGATGCCACAGGCAGGACTGCCCACAGCAGAGGGCCAAAGGGGCAACTGACCAGGGGCCTGGCTGACTTAAAAAGGCCCCAGGCAGGGATCTCCCTGCTGCTTTTAAATCGTGGTAGTGGCAGTGCCTGTGCATGGTGCATCAACTGTCCTGCTGACGCCCCTGGTCCAACTGCACTGTGCCCATGTGGTGACACCACGCAGGGCCAGCAACAGCTTCGTGCGGTACCCAGAGCCGGTAAAAAGGGCCACTGCTCCGCCAGAGACCCAGGTAGCATGGCCGGCTGAGGGAGGCTAGCTCCCAGCCTCACATCTTCCCTCAAGGCCCTCCTCCCACCTGGCCTGGGGCCCGGCATTTCTGGGCCTGTCCCAGGGGGGAAGACAAGAGGGGCAACATCACAGCAGAAGAGAGCAAGGGTGGGGGAGGGGAGGAATAGTAGCCAACTGGGGCAACAGCCAGAGAAAGCAAAAGGGGAACCTGGGATGGCATGAAGTGAGAAGGAAGGAGACAAAGTCCTTTCCTCACAGAGA